TTTTAAATTTTTGTGTTTTTCTCTCTTTTTTTCCTCCTTCTTTTCCCTTCCCCCTCGCTTCCCTCCTTTTTCCCCTTCTCCTTTTCCCCCCCCCCCCAACTCTCTCACTGTATTAGTCAGCGTTCTGTAGAGGAAGAACCAATAGAATGAATACATCATAAAGGGATTTCTGACACTGGCTTATACCGTGGGTACTGGGTGTCCAATAATGCCTGTCTTATACTGGAGAGGCTGAGAACCTGGTAGCTGCTCGGTCCATGAGGGTGGATATCTCAGCATCCCAATCTGGCATTGAAGGCTTGTGCTGTTCAGTCTACATTGAAGGCCATAGAAGCTGGTTCTAGTGTCAGTGAAGAATGGCAGGGGTAGCAGCAGCATGGTAGATACACTCACTGCAGGAGTGTACCTGTCTACTCAGGGAGAGGGTCTTTCCCCCCTCAGTTAATCCTCCAGGAAACAGGAAATACCTTCTCAGACCTTCCCAGAGGTGTGTCTCTTAGTTAATATAGATCCAATCAGTTTGATAACCAAGATTAACCATCGCATGTACAGATAAGCAAAATTTAAAAGTGAGACATTATCCTATATACATTGTCTCTGTTTTCCTGAGCAACATTAAGTGTGCTTACAGATTCCTAACATAATGTGTATTTTCCACACAGCATGGTGTTTCACAAGAGGACTTTATACGGAGGAACCAAGATAAAAATATGAGAGATGTAATCTATGACATTGCCAGCCAGGCACACTTGCACCTAAAGCATGTGAGTAGCTTCTTTCTGCCCAGTCATTTAGGATATTTGCAGTGACCATGCCAACATTATAGTTATGCCTGAATAAAGCAGCCTCTTAGCTATCAAGAGTGGGCCTGAACTTGGAGGTCACCTATTCCCCCAGGTGTCTCTTGGTACTGTGCTGAAGAGTCAGGCTTTACCCATACTTTCATTTTATTTAATTTTGTATTTTATTATTTTTGTTTTCTGTGTACGAGTGTATTACCTGCATGTATGTGAGTGCACCCGTGTTGTGCAATGCTGGAGGAGGTCAGAAGGGATTGTCAGATTTCCCTGGAACTAGAATTACCCAGACGGTTGTTACCACCATGTGGGTGCTGAGAATCGAACTTGGGTCCTGCTGCAAGAGCAGCCAGTGCTTTTAACCACTGAACCATCTCTCTAGCCCCTATACTTTTAATCAAAACTGTTTCTCTAGCATCAATTTTGGGGAACTACAAACTTAGATGCACCCTCATCTTATTGATAATCTTGCTCTTCCATCCCTAGGCCCAAAACATTTCATACACACAAGGTCAGGTAATTCTTTTCCATCTTCATTGTTTTCAATGAAAATGCCTACTGCCTTTCGGTGTTTTGATATCTTCATTCTCAAGCAAGCACACATTCACTATCTTTGGGCGGAACATCAAATTGAGGTTCTGAGGAATCAAGGTCAAGTGTCCAGGTCACAAGAACACATGGTTCAGTGACTTTGTAGTTTTTTGGTTGCAAGACTAAGTCATTAGTCCAGATTCTGTTCATTTTATAAGTCACTCCTATAGACAGTGTCTTGCTAGGTGTGGCTGTTTCTATAGCATGCTGTGGATTCTTACCTTGGCAGCCTTTATTCCATTGTTCACTGAATGGCAAGTTTATCCCAGGGGCTACTAGAAGAAAAGCTACTCTTTCCTGCTCTAGAAAAGCCCCTTCCGTCCCTCATCTGACAGGTGTACTCTATTGTAAGTCAAGCCTGAGCTTTCTGAAGTGGCTCCTCTGCTTGTCCACAAAGTGTGCCTGCTTGCCAGGGCTGCATGTCTCTCCTCTCCTGGCCCTCCTCTCATCAGCAGTCCCTGGCTGGCATTCCCTGCTGCCTTTTTAGTCTCAGGCATGCTGCTGCTACCTTGGATTCTCAGGTGGCCCATGGACCCTTCTGGTCCTTAATCCTGCTGAATAAGTGATGTGCTTCCATTGTTACCGCAGAGCCCTCATCACCCTGGCCCTGCTTCTCCTGTTCTAACATGACTTCTGTCCTGCCCACTCCAGTGAACAGTCACTGAGAAGTAACCTCCTTACCGCCAGATCAATGGTTATTGAAAAGTCTTGATTCTTCTTCCTTCTGACACCATTTTTTCTGTTTGATTCTCTGACTTGGTTCCTAAACTGGCCCCAACCTCATCTGCACACCATTTTAGTTCTTCAGGAGTTCATTCCCTAGAAGGGGTCTGACAGGGATGAGAGGGATAAGAAAGAATAATGGGGAAAGAGGAATGTGACCAGGATACATTTTATATATATGAAATTGTGAAAGAATACATTTTTTAAAAGAGGTCATTCCTCACATCCTCTAACCTGTCTTCTATTTGAGATGTGATGCTATCGACTGTCTTCCTCTTGGCCCTGTCTGTGTTCTTGTGTTTGCAGGCTGTTCCTTGCTGATACTTCTGACAGGATTGTTCATTGTAGTGACTTCTGAAGAGTTAGCCTTCAGTAGATCCTAAAGACTTGGTTATTTATCTCGTGTCTTAGCTTGTTTCTTCATTGCTGTGACAAAACGCTGTGACCACTACCAACTTGGGGAGGAAAGGGTTTATTTAGCTTACATCTCCCAGGTTGCAGTTCATCAGGGAGCCCAAGGTAGGAACTCAGGGCAGGAACTTGGAGGCAGGAGCTGGGGCACAGGCCATGGAGGAATGCTGCTTACTGGCTTGCTCCCCTGGCCCCTGCTCAGTCTGCTTTCTTATGCAACACAGGCCCACCTGCCCAGGGGTGGCACCATCCACAGTGGGCTGGGCCCTCCCACATCACTCATCAAGAAGATGCCCTTCAGATATGGCCACAGGCCAGTCCAATAGAGGCAATTTCCCGATTGAGGCTCCCTCAACCCAGGTGTGTCAAGTTGACACTAAAGCTATCCAGCACAATTGACCCCTTGTCAATTTGACACACAAACATCCCTATTAAACCATAACTTTCCAATTTCTTTGATGTTAATATCACAACATAAGACAGTCCGACTTTAAAAACCCCACAGCCCTTAAAAAATTCATAGTCTCCTTTAAAAGTCTCTTAACTGTGGCTTCTGTAAAATCCAAAACAAGTACTGTCTTATTTCAAAGGGAAGAATGGGGCACACCTAAGCAAAACCAAAGTCCAGCAAAGTAGCTCAAGGCTGGACATCAGGGATTCACTCACAATCTCTGGCCTCCAAAGGGTTCTGGCAACTCCACTTCTCTGACTCTACCATCCACAGCACACACAGCTCATCTCACAGACCCAGGCCAGCTCCATTCCACACCTCTTGCAGCCCTTGGTGGTTGTGAGTGCCAAGCATCAGCTGCTCTCTGTGACACCTTCACGCCTTCAACACCAGAACCACTCAGGAGACTCTTACACATTACCAAGTCCTGCTTCCAGCTTGAGATAGAGGTTCGGGTCCCCTCTGTGTGCTGACCCTGAGGAAATATTTCCCAGAAGATTTCACCATGGTGATGCTGGTCTCTTGTTACTTAGAGCTGATTTTTCAGCCCCAGCTAACCAGCATCAATTGTCCCAGGAAAGCAAAGGTTTTGCTTCAGGTTCTGGTCTCTTCTTAATCACAGCTGATTCTTCAGCCCCAGCTGACCAGAACCCACAGATTCTCAGTCCACTTTTCTGTTGCTGTGATAGAAACACCCAAGCAATTTATAGCAGGAAGGGTTTATTTGAACTTATTTATTACAGTCTTTCATGGCAGGGAGGCATGATGGCTGGAGGTGGCTGGAGGAGGAGCGGAAGCTAAGCTCTCACATCATCACACAGGCACAGGAAGCAAGAGGGCGACTGCAGATCTGACAAGGCTTAAGAGCTCTCTAAGCCCACCCCCAGTGACCTGCTTCCTCCAGGATAGCCATACCTTCTAAAACCTCCCAAAACAGTGCCATCATCTGGGGACAGAATGTCGAAACACTTGGAGCCTATGGGGGACATTTTCATTCAAACCACCACACCTCGGGTGTGTGGTTTTTTTGTTTGTTTTTGTTTTGTTTTTGTTTGTTTTTTGTTTTTAGACAGGGTCTCATGTAGTGTAGGCTTGCTTCATCTTAGCTATATAGCTGAGGATGATATTGATCTCTGCTTCCCAATTATTGGGATTATAGCCATGTGCTGCCATGCCTGGTTTCTGTGGTGCTACAGATCAAACCCAGGGCCTAGTGCATATGAGGCAAGCACTCTACTAACTGAGCTACATCCTCAGCCCACCGCAGGGCCTTTCTTTTTTTTTCAAAGGTTTATTTATTTATTTATTTATTTATTGGTCTTTTTGAGACAGGATCTCCCTGTAGCCCCAGCTGTCCTGGAACTCACTACGTAGATCAGGCTAGCCTTGAACACACAGAGATCCGCCTGCCTGTGCCTCCCGAGTGCTGGGATTAAAGGTGTGCGCCACCACGCCCGGCTAGGTTTGTTTATTTTAATTTTATGTACATGTGGGAGTGCCTTCTTGTATGTGCTCCATGTGCATGCCTCATGCCTGCAGAAGCTGAAGAGGATGTTGAATCCCCTGGAACTGGAATTATGGACAGTGTTAGGCTCCATGTGAGTGCTGGGAACTGAACCCAAGTCCTCTGCAAGAGCAGCCTGTTATCTTAACTGCTAAGCCATCTCTCCAGCCCCATCCTCAGGGCCTTTCTACTTGTGTTTCTGCTTCCTGTTCTCCCCTTGACCTATCCTTCATAGTCAGTGCTCAGGTGTTACCTTATTAGAAGGATATTTCCTGGTCACCTCATTTAAAATAACACTCTCCCCTTTCATCACCCTTGCTCCCCTTTCCTGGCTTAGTAGTTTTCACTTCTTGGGATTGAAAGTTTACTTATTTATTGTCTCCCCACTTCATGACATATAAGTGACTTTGTTCTGGGCTCTATTGTTCATCATCTGAAATGCCCAGTACATTATAGGTGCTAAGCTCTTTGAGGACAAAGAATGCATTCTAAGCTTCCTTTGAATTTCTTGAAGAATCTAAGCTGTAGTAAAGTGTTAATAAAATGCATGGAACTCTAGATGAGAAATTTCTTAAAACTAGCAGAGTTGGAGTAAGATCTGAGAACACTGCAGAATTACAGAGGCAGGGAAATTTCCTGGACTTGTGTGGAAACCTGAGTAGTGTTAGTCAGTGGACATATAAGGTGCCTGGGAAATGTAAATTCCAGGCCTTACTTCCTGGAGATTGGCACAGTAAACCTGGGGTGGAACCAAGAATTATAATTTCCAGATTATCTTACTAATTAATTTATTTTAATAGTGCTGGGGATTGAGCCCATGGCCTTGTACATGCTAGGCAAGGACTCTACCACTGAGCTTTATCTGGTCTCCAAATGATTTGAAATAGCCAGATTTGAAGCTACTGGTATGAAATCTACTAGAAAATGGCTCTGGGGGCTAGAGAGCTGGCTCAGTGGTTAAGAATACTTGCTGCTATTGTGGCCTCAGGGGATCTGATACCCTCTTCTGGCCTCCATGAGCACGAGGCACGCATGTGGTTCACATACATACATGCAGGCAAATACTCATACATGTAAAATTTTTTTTTAAATCTCTTTTTAAAAAAGGTTTGGCTGGGTGTGATGGTGCGCACCTTTAATCCTGGCACTCAGGAGGGAGAGGTAGGCAGATCTCTGTGAGTTCAAGCCTAGCCTTGTCTGCATAGGAGTTCTAGGCCAGTCAGTGAGACTCTGTCTCAAAAGAAAGAAAAAGAGTGAGAGCAAGAGTGAGAGTGAGAGCGAGAGCGAGAGCAAAAGACAGCGAAAGAGAGAGAGAGAGAGAGAGAGAGAAAGAAAAAGAAAAGAAAATAGGTTTGGAGCAGTAAACTAACAAGATTTTATAGCACTTTGGAGACTTGAGAAGCCAAAGAACATGGCAGATGCCAGTATACACTCTGGAATCAGAAGACTGACTTTAATCTTAGCTCTGCCATTTATTAATTATGTGAGTATAACGTCACTGTGCCTGTTTCCTCATAGATAAAAGAAGATCATATAAGCCCCCAGTTCAAAGCATTGTTTAGATAAATGAGCTAACATAAAGAGTTAGGCCAGGCATGGTGGTGCACACCTTTAATCCTAGCACTTGGGAGGCAGAGGCAGGCAGATCTCTGTGAGATTGAGGCCAGCTTGGTCTACAAAGTGAGTTCCAGGCCAACTGAGGCTACAGGGAGACCCTGTCTCAAAAAGCCAAAAAAAAAAAAGTTAATCACAGTACTTTCATATAGTAAGTGCAGTATCAGTTCCTCATCATCAGGTAAAGCTGTGCTGTTCATATTGCAGTGAAAACTGCCAGGGTGGGTTTTGTTTTGTTAATTTTTATTTATTTACTCATTTATTTTTATTATGTGTATGAGTGTTTTGCTTACATGTATTTAAGTGCTTCACATGCATGCAATGACTGCAGAGGCAAAAGAGGGCATTGGATCCTCTGGAACTGGAATTATGAACAGTTGTTAGCTGCCCTGTGGGTACTGGGAACCGACCCCAGGGCCTCTGCATTAGAAGCCACTGCTCTTAACCACAGAATCATTGCTTTAGTCCCTTGTTTTGTTTGAAAGACAAGGTTTTGCAGTATAACCCAGGCTGGCCTGAAACTTTCTATGTAGTCTAAGCTGGCCTTGAATTTGTGATCCTCTTGCTCCAGCCTCCCAAGTGCTGGGATTATAGGTGTGTAATACCATGCTTGAAGAAGGAAACAGAGAGAGTAGATGCTTATAAGTATGTATGTATGTATGTATGTATGTATGTATGTATGTATGTATTCCCACACCCACAATGAGACTTGATAACTGATTGGACTGTGCAAAATAAGGAATAGAGCAAGTCAAAGGCTACACAAAGAGTTCATACATAGGTGTTGCTGGTGCCAGCCAGAGATGCAGTAGAAAAATAGTGGCATGCTGGGTGCTGGTCTTTGCTGTGGGCATAATCGAATATGAGAGGGTAAAAAAGAGGGTAAAAGATAAGCTACTGATGGCTTGGGATTTGAAGTGGCAGAGTTGGAATCAGCATGTGAAAGATTATGGTCAAAGCTCTTAAGTTTGAGTGTTGTTGCTCGAGGAGATTGTATACAGACAAGAGGACAGGGGAACAGAGCCTTGAGGCCCACAGCCTTGTCAGAAGGAGACAGGACCATTTACTAGAAAGAAGGCAAAGGAAAGACTAGGAGGACTAGAATCAGTACCCTGAAAACCAGGAGGGGAAGGGATATCGGAGCTTTACCTGCTGCAGACTGAAGAGAAAGGGGACCGTTAAAGCATGTTCTGGATGCTCTCAGAGCGATTCAATAGTTGGGTATGGCGAAGCCTAGTGTGGCGGGTCAGGAAGTGGAGGTGGGCTCTTCTCTTCCTGGTTTAAGAGACAATACAAGCCGGGCGTGGTGGTGCATGTCTTTAATCCCAGCACTTGGGAGGCAGAGGCAGGCGGATCTCTGTGAGTTCAAGGCCAGTCTGGTCTACATAGTGAGTTCCAGGACAGCTGGGGCTACAGGGAGACCCTGTCTCAAAAAGACAAAAAAAAAAAAAAAAAAAAAAAAAAAAAAAAAAAAGAGAGAGAAAGAGAGAGAGAGAGACAATACAAAGACTTGGAAAAAAGGATGGACCTGGCAGATCCAGGATGATAAGCCTGTGCCTGAGTGGACCAGGTGTTCGTACCCTAGAAGAGCAGGGAGTCAGGTTGGGCCTTTGAAGAATAGCTACAAGGTCCAGGAAGAATAGCTGCCACTTGATCACCAAAGAGTTAAATCATGGTTAAAAAAATGAAGCGATGGTATAAAGATAAATTCATCAGCATGGAATGAACTAGACACAGAGGCAGAAATACTGAACAGGAAATAGTGTCTATGCTAGGGAGGTGCTGGAATTATTGGTACAAGTATGTCTGCATTTTCCCTTTACCACAGAGCTAGAGGGTCAGAGTTAGTGCGAAATGTAGTAAGGTGGTTGCAAAATGCCACTGCCAGTCCATGAGAGAATGGGGTTCTAAATACAGCACAGAGTTGATTTTTGCTAAGTCCACAAGGCTTTGGCAACTCATTTTAGCCATCAGGAGATGAGCTGTTTTCTTGCTTTTATGAGAGGCCCTTGTCATGTCATTAAACTGCTGCCCTGGCTTTGTGTTCACTCTCAAAGGGAGAGTGTTTGTTTGCAGAAGCATTTCAAGCCAGTTTCTTTCCCCCTTCCTTTTTAGGCGAGGTCCTTTCACAAAAGTGTTCCTGTGAAAGCGTTTCCTGCTTTTCTTCAGACAGTAAGTGTGTTAGCAGAGAAGCTGTATGTGCTCTCTTCTCCTGTTTTGTGAGGTTCCCAGTGTGGCTCTTTTGTTTGGAGTCTTCGACTTTTTCCCTCCCTCACGGTGGCTTGATTAGCCCCTGATGATCTGGTCTGTATTTCCTTGAGTTGCTGTTAGGACCAGCTCAGCATCCAGCCTGCCCCAGGTTGAATCTGCTTTGTCTCTCACTAGCCATGGGGGCCTTAATTTCTTTAACTTGTGTGTTCCTCTATTGACTCATCAGTAAAATGAGAATTTTATAGAAAACTACCTTGTAGGATTGTCTCCGTGGTAACCTAAACATATTGTAGCACTGGCTCACAGGCTACTGATAAACTATCTGCATTGGAATAACCTGGAAAACTTTTTAAAAATCTAGTTTCCTGGGCTCTTCCTACTGATTATGACTCTCAGGATTGAGGAAGGTAAGAATTCCTAGGAAAATCTGGTTTTTTTAAGTTTCTAACCTGGCGTGGTGGCATACACCTTTAATCCCAGAACTCAGGAGGCAGAGGCAGGTGGATCTGTGTGAGATTGAGGCCAGTCTGGTCTGTATAGCAAGTTCCAGGCCAGCCGTGGCCACAAGGAGACCCTCTCTCAAAAAAAGAAAAGTTTCCAGATGTGGGCCAGTGAGATGTTATCCAAGCCTGGAGTCTTGTCTTCAAACCCTGGAATGCATGTAGCGGTACAAGGAAAGAATCATTTCTACAAAATTGTCCTCTGACTACCACACCTGTGCTCCTCCCTGCCCCCCACCAATTAAAAAAAAGTATGGGGCCAGGGAGACGGGTCAGTGAATAAAAGTGTTTGTGGGTGGTGCAAGCTTGATGACACTAATCCAGAACTCATGGTGGAAGGGGAGAACTGACTCCCAAAATTTGTTCTCTCACCACACAAAGGCCATGCATGCATATCCATCATACATACAATTTTTAAAAGTCTGAAATAAAATACTTTTGTTTTCTTTTATATATATTTATATTTTTATTTTTAATTATGCAATTTATTTTTATTTCATGTGCATGAATGTTTTGCCTACATGTATGTAAGTGTACCCATGTTGTGCAATGCCTGTTGAGGCCAGAGGAGGACATCTGATTCCCCTGGAACTGGATTTACAGACAGTTGTTAGCCACCATGTGGGTTCTGGGAATCGAACCCAGGCCCCCTGTAACAGCAACCAATGCTCTTAATTGCCAAGCCATCTCTCCAGCCCCATCCCCGTCTATATATTTTAAAGAATCTCCAGGCATAATTAATCCAAACACTCTGAAGACAGAGATAGGAGGATTTCTATGCGTTCAAGGCCAGCTGGTCTATACAGTGAGTTCCAGGGCTAGCCAGGAATACATAGTGAGACCCTGTCTGAAAAGAAAAAAACAACAAAAACCATTTGGAGTACCATCTCAGGAAACTAAAATAGCCTTAATAGTTGTACTTTTTCTTGTTTTTTTTTCTAAATTTTTAAAATAATTTATTTTTATTTTATGTGTATGAGTGTATTGTCTACATGTATGTAAGTGCACTCATGTTGTGCAGTGCCTACAGAGATCAGAAGAAGGTGTTGGATCCCCTGGAACTGGAGTTACAGATGGTTGTTAGCCACCATATGCGTGCTGGGAATCGAACCTGGGTCTTCTGCAAGAGCAGCCAGTGCCCTTAACTGCTGAGCCATCTGTCCAGCCTCTTTTTCTTTTTTCTTTTTTTTTTTTGAAACAGGGTCTTCCTGTGTATCACAGGTTGGTCTTGAATTTTCCATCCTCTTGCCTCAGTCTCCTCAGTGCTAGAATCATAGGTGTGAGTTCCCTACATCTGCCTTGTAGTTCTGGGGTTTTGTATTTTTGAGACAGGGTCCCATTCTACCTGTTTTACCATGTAGGGGAGGCTGGTCTCAGACTCATGGCGATCCTCCTGAGGGTTTTATTTTGTTTTCTGAGTGTTGGGATCACTGGTGTGAGCCTCCCTGCCTGGTTACACTTTTCTTTAGTTTGGGAGACTTGATCATTTTATGATCTATTAACCATGATATTTTTTTTTCAGGTTTCTCTAGAGGACTATTTAAAGAAAATTCAAAGAGTAGATTTTGATATATTCCACCCATCTTTACAGCAGAAGAATACATTACTTCCTTTATCTTTGTATATTCAATCATGGAGAAAAAGATATTAAAATAACTTGATACATTATGATACTGATCTACTTTTAATTTATTGGTTTAAACAAATGTACTATTGGGGCTGGAGAGGTGGCTCAGGGGTTAAGAGCCTGGGCTGCTTTTGCAAGGGCTCCAGGTTTGGTTTCCAGCACCCACATGGCAACTAACAACCATCCTTAACTCCAGTTCCAGGAAATTCAACACCCTCTTCTGGCCTCTTCAAGCATCGCATGCTTGTGGTGTACTTACATACATGCAAACAAAACATTCATACACATAAAATTAAAAAAAAAATACTGTTTTGGGTTCTTGTTTAGAAATAATAGGTGCTAACTTTTTTAAAAATTATTTTTTTCATATTTTATTTATTTTATGTGCATGTGTGTATTGCCTGCATGTAGGTAAGTGCACCCATGTCATGCAATGTCCGTGGAGGACAGAAGAGGCTGTCGGATCCCCTGGAACTGGAGTTACGGACAGTTGTTAGCTGCCATGTGGGTACTAGGATTTGAACCCGGATCTTCTGCAAGAACAACCAGTGTTCTTAACCACTGAGCCATCTCTCCAGTCCAGTACTAACTTGTGTGTGTGTGTGTGTGTGTTACCTTCGTGCATGTGTCTGGAGACCAGATATTGTTGGGTGTCTCCCTCAGTCAGTCTCCATCTGATTTTTGTTTTGTTTTTTTGAGACAGGGTCTCCTTGTAGCCCCAGTTGGCCTAGAACTCACTACATAGACAAGGCTGGACTTGATCTCACAGAAATCAGTCTGCCTTTGCCTCTGGGATTAAAAGCATGCATGATTTTTTTGATACTGAACCTGTTGCCGAACCTGGAGCTCACTGATTCAGCTAGAATGGCTAGCCAGACACCCTGAGATCCTCTGGTCTCTTCTTCCCAACACTGGGATTCTAGGCACATACTGCCACACCTGGCTTTGTCGGTGCTGGGGATCTGAATGGGGTCTTCATGCTTGAGCAGTAAGCACTTTATCTACTGAGCATCTCCCAAGCCCCAGAGTTAACTTTTTACTTGAGAAGAGGAATTACTGTGTGGGTACCAAGTAGCTCACAGAGCTGCTGTGGGTCTGGGGCCCAGATACCTCCAAGAGTCTACCATTGGCACTGTCAGCCCAGACAAGGCTGCTGTGTCATCATTCAGAAGTTGGCATCCCAGGAGGGAGTCAGGTGAGAGGGAATGCCATCCTCACTCCCTCATCCTTGGGGATAGGAAGGGGAAGGGGTGTGTTCATACCCTGACTTAACATGCGGAGCAGCCAAAACCCAGATGTTCAATAGAGCTGGAAAAAGCATGTGTCTGGGGGCATGAAAAATGAACTCCAGGTTTGAGAAGTAGTCTGTGTTGAGGCCGTATAACCCTAACAGTCTTTGTAGAGTTAAGTAGCTGTTCATTACAGTCAGAGCCTTCTGAGTTTAGGTCTGCTTGGTTTGAGAGCTTTTACCTTCATATTAACCCCACTGTTTTAGTCTGTCATTCAGCATTACCATCATCATGAATAAAATCATGTTGGCAAAATTCATGTTAGTATAAATTATACCAACAGTACTGTGTTGAACAACCATTAAGGGGATGTGCATTTTTATAGTGTTCACTGAGCTTCCCAGTGAGAAAAATGGAGATACATGGTGTGTGTTTGTACCTATCTATAGAATTCTTGCTTGATCTTAAAAATTGAAATAAGGCTCTATGGCGCGTGTCGCTTGACTCCCGGCGTGGTGTGTGCGGGCACCCTGGGGTCTCCGCCACACCTGGCTAATCCCGGCGTGAGTCTGGCTGCAGGCGATGTGGGGAGCGCGCCTGGGCTCCCGGGCGCACTCACTCTGGATGTGGCCCAGGGTCAGGTGTGCGTGCACTCTCCCGCTGTGGTTCTGGTCCCATTGGCTAGCCGCTGGTGGGCCTGGCTGGCAGAGGCTCTCTGGAGACAGCAGG